CAATTGTGAAACATTCGCGGCCTCGGGGGAATTTGAACCCACAGAACAGGGAAGGCCCTTGCGCAGCCAAAATCCTACCACTGAGCTCCGAGTCTCACCTTGCGCCGAGATTTTAGTCCCATTTGCATCAATTGTTCCAGCCCAACTTGAATTAAGCAAATCTGCTAAACCCTCCCAACAATAGGAATAACTATTTAAATAACTTAATTTTTGATGCGCGATAATTGAACTGCGGAATACAACCAATAGTAAACAATGGGGGAGGGGGCTAATCGCTACATACGAATGGATTGCGTCGCACTGAGCAGCCATTCCGACCAATGAACCCTGGACGGGGCCTGTAATTGCCAAAGGCTATAATTTAGCATGGACTACTGGGAAAGAGTCAATGTCAAAATAGGAAAAACCCATGTCTACTGCTACAAATAAGTAGACAGTTATGCGAAATAGATGGTAATGAGACCAAAAACTTTGCATCAACCTAATAAAGTGATAGAAAACAGCTAGTTTAGAAATCGGCATGCCCATTCGTGCCAAATGGACGGAACAGTAATCAGTAACCTGAAGTTTGTATGGAAAAGGATTCAAATATCGGTAAGGAGGGGTGTGGTAAGTACTGCCATTCACTGAGACAGGTTTGTAGCTACCAGAAATAGTATAATAGCATGCCCTTGAAACCTTACGTTTTTCGAAAGGGATAGTTAAATGGCCTCAGCACAGCAACCAAAAGTTCTAATTTCTGTAAAACAGAACCGGTGGTAACAGGGGTTACATGTGTGGGTCATAACAGAGCGCAATGCGGAATATTTAAAGTTTTGCGTACAAAAGTGAGAAATAACAGTACCTAGGCTGTAAGTATGGAAAATTAAAACATCAATTCAAGCTACTAACTACAACAAACAAGCACACGAACCTTTTGCTACAAAAATTTAGAAAAAAGGTTAATTGACACTATATACGCAGAAGACACACGGATAATTAGATAAAACTGCAATATAATTTGAATAAAGTGGCTTTTGTTTAGTTGTAACGTTTGGTTTCTGTCCAAATATTTGGTTCAGTGGATATGCTAACTCTACATGCGAGAGCAACGGCTTTCATAATCTCAGTTGCTTCGTAAAACAGAATTCATGGGTTACGTGATACTACGGTAATCGTTATGCATTATCAATCCCGTATGGCATTCTGTGCGAAATGATTAGAGATCAGTTTGCGAAAACGTTTGTAGCTAGTGTCTTGTTACCTGCTATTCAGAATTTTTTTCTGCCTCGTAGTTGGGCACGAACCAAGTAAATTGGAGTACTACATTTTAGGCCAATTAAAGAACAGCAAACCGTTTATAAGGCAACTGCTTTCGTTATCCTTCCTTCGAGGGCTTATTGACCAAAAACCCGTTTTTCAAAATATGATTA